CAGGAAAATTTTCTTTGATGTGTTTCAGGATTGCCAAAAAAAATTACAACGTCTGGTAACTTGCCATCGTAGTGAGTCAGCAAGACATACAGTAGGTTGCTATAATTCGCCATTTCCTCCGTGTAGGCCACTAATAATTCATGTAACCCTGAACACTTCCAACAGGGCATTATTTTTTACACACTCTCTAATTGAGTACGGACCTGTTCCAGTTTTTGCGTAAATTGGAAGTGAAAATTTGACGTGAATGCTACACACCCCGTGATTTAATAACGCCGTTTGAACGTCACGTTTTCGTCAAATTTGCGCTCATTTTGGCGCAAATATAGATCGCTGTCTGTGCTAAAATTAAATAATAGTTTCGTCACTGAAGATGACGTCGATTGGATTTGTCTCGGTGTGATATTGAAAGGCTTAATTTTCGGATCTGATTAGATCACTTAAATCACAATAGAAATGACAATTTTATTCAATCCATTGTAGTAAGTGATCGTAAGAAAACCAGTTTGTAACCGGTTTTCGAGTTTCATTCATGATTTTTCTGAGTTGACAAACAAGTTTTGCTCTTAGCATCAAAGTCCCGTGAATTTATTGATTAGGCAGTTTATTTTTTTAGCGTGCAGGATGAAGCTATTTTAACTTACCCTTGAATTTAATTAAATATATTTGAAAATTTGGTACTTGTTTCAAACACGTGTATTTTCAAAGTTGGGTTTCCAACTTGAAATACACTTGTTGAGCCCATTTAACACTTTTTCTCAATTGTGGAACTACACAACTCTAGAGCACTCGCGTTCGCAATAAAATTAATCTGGTAGAAAAAGTTTCTGTGTATGTGGTTGATTCGTTTTCGTGTAACGTTCAGGAATTGCAGGAAACTTTGCCAAACTCAAACTTACTAAATTAACCTAAATATTGAGTGATGAACTTGTTAATTTTAATTATTAAAATATTTTCAGTGAAAGACGAGGTTGTTTTTAGACCTGTGTTGACAACAGCATTACGCTCCTAAAAGAGGCTGCAGTGGTCGTAAGGTTTTATTTTCCCATTTTTGACTAATAGCTTTATTTGTCAGGACCAAGGGAGAGCTTTCTTGCGAAAAAATCTAATGGCGATTAAAAAGCTTTCTTTGTTTGAGAAAACAAACTTCTCTCGAATATTGGCTCTAATTAATTTTTTTTTTATCTTGATAAGACAATAATTGCATAAGGGAGTCTTGCCGACTTTTAGTTCAAACATTTACATTGTAAATTAGCTGGAATAAAATAAACAGAAACGTAAAATATCAAATTTTTTGTCTCGAGCTTTCAGGGGTTATGAGACGAAAAAGAAAAATTATAACACATGAATTTTTTTATGTTTTTTTCTGACGTGTTGTACATTATATGGGACATATTTCTTTTATCGCTTTTTCGTTTTATCCTTCGCTGTCAATTTCATTCCTAAATTTTTTGTCCTACGATATCGTAATGTCCAAAACAACTTTACGATCTTTCATAAGGGGCTAAGTTTCATAAATGCGGTAATATCATGCTTCCAGTCATTGTTAAAATTTTATATCAAACTTTATATGAATGTTATAGTGCTTATCTCAGTCTCACAACATGTAATAATTTGGCAATGTTTTCGACGACGTCGTTAGATATTTCTTGGCAGATAAAAGTTTTAAATGTGGATAACTCACATCCACCAGTTCTATTTTAATCACGAAATGTTATAAAAATGTATTTATTTTTGTCTATAAATGTGAAATGTTTACAGACTGGTTATTTTGGAAAGTTCTAGTTAAAACATATTCTACTTTATTTAAATTTTTCTCGTGTTTGGTGAACTGTTGTGTCTGTCTACTGAACGCTTTATTTTGCTTTTTTGCAGTAGGAAGCAGTATCTATCGTAGGCGTAACAAAGCTTCAGGATATAGTAAATAACCTACGAACTTCACGATGGTTTATTTTCGTTTCATTGAAAATCTTATACATTTCATTGTTTTTTATTTTGAAACGAAATAAAATGCTGTGTTTGTATTTTCTCTGAAATCGGGAATTAAATTTTTGTGAGTTCATTTAACACGATTTGAATTTAAATTGAATCATGACATCGCCGATTGATCGATTACGAATTTCATTACCGAATTCAGTTTATTGCATAATGTAACTATGGTGTACAATTACAATATGATAGAGAGCAGTTTATGTTTACAACGAAGTATTTAGAGCAAATTTTATCTTTTGTACTGCGAACAAATGGAACTTTAACGCGAACCATAGATGGTCGTTAGGAGAATTATACTCAGTCTGTAATTATAACACATTCTGTTATCACCTAACTACGTAATGCAATTTCCGTATATTTCTACAATATAAATAATTAACTACAAGGAAGATTATTACTTTATTTCAGAGTGTTAATCAAATAACTAACAAGTGATTTTTCAAAATACATATTATGCAATTCTTTTTTAACATAATTTCGACATTGCATAGATTTTTTTTTTAATTAAAAACAATATAGGTACCCAGTTTGTATACATACTAATAACATATAGTATCTTTTTTTATGTTTTTAATTTACGGGAGTGTTTTCTGTTAAATACAAGAAAACATCTAATTTTAAAATGGGTGCGCATTTTAATTACATTTTCCATTTGCTAATTGTTGGATTTATTATTTTCGAGTAAATATAGAGATGAATTTTTCTCAAATATATTTTTTTGATTCTGAAGAGAAAAGGAGCCACATAATTTGATAATTTATCATTCAGGGTAAGTGTAGTAAGATGGATATTTCCTTGACAGTTGTAAATGTGTCATCGTTTCTTACTGCATGATTAATATTTCACCTGAAATATGATGATAATGTTACAAAATTGATTTTGTCTTTCGGAAATATTTCTATGTGAAAGAATTAAGTCTCGCTTCTAAGGTATAAACATTTTTTTTCATTCAGCTGATAAAGTAACACAATATTGCAATATTGAATTTTGTAATTGAGAAAACAAACATAACAGTTAATAAAATATTTTCTGAGAACATTCAGTTCAACTATAAATACCAGACTTCATATTTTTACAATACACATTGCACAACTTTGCTTCACTTTCCTGATTAGATCTTTATCTTTTGTTGATGAGTGTAGCGTGATAAATAATTGATAACTCGTGGTCTAAAACGTTGCGGTTACCGGCTGTTTGCATTTAGAAACAGCAACAATGAAATCTACATCTGCAAGTTTTAGACCTGTAGAACAGTAAACCGGCGAGGGAAAGGGTGTTTCCACACAATCGAAATTTTCGATGTTTATCTTCACTGTTAACAAACTGCGGTCCATAAACATAAGTTTAGTGCGACGGTTATTACTGTGCGTGTTTTCTCATCTTGAGTCAGTCTCAGGGAACGTTATTACTTATTAATTTATGACCTGCAGGATTTTTAGTTTGTCTAGAATCAGTGATTTTGTAAAAAAATATTTGAGGAATTGAATCAATAAAGATTATTTTTATAGCGAGCTTTTGGAAATAATCTTTTTTCTAAGAACATGACAAATAACCTGTAAATAAAAAATTGGTGCTAGTAATTTTTAAACATTTCAATCTGGGGTTTTAGAGGACGTGAAATTTGATTTTTTTAATATACAGTGAGCGGCAAAATTATGGAATAATCTTCTTAAAACTGAAAATATTTTGTTTTGTAAAAAATTCTTGAACAGGTCAATGTTCTTTTTAAAAAAATGCACAATTTTCAACTTGATTTAAAATTCAACACTTTTTGGTTTTTGAATTTGTTTAGCCAATTTGATAGATCTTTTAATTGCCGAAATGACAACATCAAAATATTAAATATTACATAGTTTTTGAAAAAAAATATATCCATAATATCAAAAACAAACACAATTTTAAATCAAGTTGAGAATTTTGTATTTTTTAAAAGGAAAATTGACCTGTTCGAGGATTTTTGTCAAAACAAAATATTTTCAGTTTTAATAAATAAGATTATTTTATAATTTTGCCGCTCACTGTATAAATGCATTGATTTACTATATCATTACGTAACAGAACAAAAACATATAAATAAAAAATCAATAGGGAGTATAAAGGAGACTAATTATGTAATAATAAGCATTACGTTCGAAGAAGTTCATTTTTATTAAAAAATCAAGTTTTATAAAACTAAATATAATTTATTTTCATCGGCTTGGGAATTTTTTTGATTTTGCGTATTCCCAGGAGAGTTGCAGAGTTTTAATAAAAGTTTTAATTACGTTTCAATACTTTAATTATCAACTCAGAAACTTCTCCCATTTTGTTCGTTAGTAATATTATCTACAACGAAAATTTAATATAAAACAACAACTAACAATATTTTAATTTCCATCACATAATGAATTATTAACTTTTATTTTGAAAGGAACGAACCTGATCCCACTTCTTTGTTCTTTAAATATCTGGTTTTGTTTATCGTGATGGAAAATTAATTAGATTTAATCTTAAGTCTATCTAAAGCTATAATTGAGTCGGTACAAATAAAACACAGGATTTCCCTCCAGTGAGCTCAACAAAGGAGAAAAACTAGAAATAGAACAAATCAATCATGAGTGTCACAACTAATTAACCCGCGAAGCCCTAAGCAGTGTAATGTGGTAAATCGCGTATCAGTGCCCCCTCGACGCCGCATTTCCCCTAATTATCGTTCGATAAATCGTCGCCCGAAACAGCCCCGATTTAGCGCCGCATGCATAAAAATAGGCGTCGCAGCAGTCGCGCCCCTTTCCCACCCTTTCCCCATCGTAATTACGTCGACTATGACGTATTTGATGCACTTTGTACCCCGAGACCCATCCACTTTGGGGCCCCATCGCCGTGTTCTCCTCCGGCAAAAGCTCCACCGTCGTAACTTGGGGCAGGTTTGAGGCTGGAAGGCCTGTCCTTCGACGCCCCCCTCGGCCGTCGCGGCGCCGAGTCCGCAGTATGACGTCAAGGCTCAATACGTGCCGCGGCAGCGCAGCCAGGCGAACTTTTAGTGGGTCCGCGCCCGTCGTCGCTGCTTCTAGTGTGATTTGTGTGTAGTGGTCGACATCACATGAAGTACAGTATTTAACACCACTCCCCGGGATATTATCACACAATCAGCATGGGGGAGGTAGGTCCTAAAGCGAATTTCGAAAAAACGCGATTTTTTTCATCCAACGGTTTACTCCGGAAAGTATCGATTCTTCCGGCAAACCGTTGCGAACGGTTTTGCTGAGGGCTTATTGAATTTTCGGCCGGCGAGGCGGTTAAAATGAAAGGAATGTCTGTACTGACCTACAGGGGAAAAAGGGATTTTTCGTGTTGGGATTGGGATTGATCGACGGTGAATCTCTTGTATTGTTCCCTTTTTATAGGTTTGTTATGTAACATCAATCTCTCATTAATGATATTGATGATAATGATTATTTGAGTAAATATTTATTGAATACGTACGTCAGTAAACCCTCAAAAAATTAAATGGGGCTTCTAATTAACATCCAAGATTACTATCAGTATTGATTATATTTTACAATGAAATTTATTTGAAATTTTGTTCAGTGGAAAATTTCAGGAATGGAGAACTGTTAGAAATAGTTCTAGATTATTATTCACACAGATAAATTAGACCGCTTGGAGCTTTCATTCCCCGCAAATCTGTTACATTCTCCTGTCCTAAATTTACCAAAAATTCCCAATTAAGCATCAGGGGCGGAAAGCGCAGACTCGTTACGAAAATAGACCAAGAAACATCGTTTTCGCATTTTTCCCATAAAATTGACACTGAATTAAAAAAAAATATTTGTGTAGCGATTTCGGATTGAGACTAGGTCAGTCGTAATCAGTGAATTATTTTTCGCATAATCGAAGACAATAACCTAGTCCTTGAGAAATACTATGTCTAGTAGTGGAATTTAAACAAGTTACGTAACCAAGTTCATTAACCAAAAAATGTAGGCGATGATTCACTTGAGGTGTTGTTTTCAAAAAGTCTTCCTTTAAGCAATAGGAAACGTTTATTCAATTAGCCCAGACATCAATTTTGTTTATGAGGCCCTTGTTAAGTCTTTGTACACGCGCAAATCGGGATGGAAAATTTTACACCTGATCAAAGAATTCAATAAGTTTTGCAAAATCGATTATGTTGGCACTATCTGCATGATCAACAGCAATGCAATTAATTTTTTGGTGTTTGTTGTGACATATTTCGCGATGAAATATGTCGTCGTGGTCCTGAGGCCTGTTGGTATGTAGGAATGAGTGTTTAGACCGTAGTGGTTATTTTTCAGCACGGCCGTTCTGACTCTTATCGTGTGGCAACTATTCCGTCCAGTTATGATGACAACAAAACCGCTGATGGTAGACCTAAGGTATTTTCAAAAATCACACATTTTATCTTCTCTCTCTTTACACATATCTGAGTAGGTTGTTGGGTCAAGGACTTTCCTATCTTTATTTTTCTCTTCTCTAATTATTTATTTATCCAACGCCGTTTTACTTGTAATCGATTGAGATCAATTTTAAATGTCTTTATCACACATTCAAGACAAATGACGTCAATACTTATCTAAGTAAAATGAGTAAAACGGCATTTTTATTTTGTTTTTTTCTCACGTAAGTAATTGCGAGCTAACACATCACTAACAGCACCTTGTAATATTGCACTTGGGTATGTATAGTAACAAAAAATAATCCCAATACGTTGATGTTTGATCACGTTTTATATAGCCATAATTTTATCTTATACCAAGTGTGCCTTTAAAAATTGACTTCCCGCCCACAGGTTTATAAAATACCATTTCCTGCCCTGTATCGGTTTCGTTATCTTTAATTCTAACTTTTGTTTGATAACGTTATTAGTTCATTTTTTAAGTCAGTAGTAAATAATCAGAAGATCGCAAATTTCTTCAGGTTGTCAAGGTTTGGATCTGATTTCTTAAGTACACTCACAACTGGCTAGTTGTAGATTCGACTCAAGTTTTCTAGAAATAACTGGAACCTAATTATAAAAAGTAGTACGTAAAATTGTTGTTACCACCTTTAATTATCGCTGGCTTGCATGATTGGCTTTCAAGGGTTTACTTAGTTTTCTATTTGTTAACTTGGGTTTAAACCGGTAAAATCGCAATCAATCCGAATCGATCACTTCCTAATTTTTTTGTGTTATAGTCACGGAGGAAAAATAAGAAGGTCAGGAAAGCGGATGATTTAGATGATTTGAAACAAGAATTGGACATCGATTATCATAAAATCACCCCAGAAGAATTATATCAGAGATTCCAGACACATCCAGAAAATGTAAGTTTGAACTTTAAGACGATTTCAGAATTTACTACTTGAAATTTTACAGGGCCTCAGTCATGCGAAAGCGAAAGAGAATTTGGAACGGGACGGACCCAATGCACTCACACCCCCAAAGACTACCCCCGAATGGGTGAAATTTTGTAAAAATCTCTTCGGGGGTTTCGCTCTCTTATTGTGGATCGGCGCCATCCTCTGCTTCATAGCTTATTCTATCCAGGCTAGCACCGTGGAGGAACCAGCCGATGATAATCTTTATCTTGGCATCGTCTTAGCTGCCGTTGTTATCGTTACAGGTTGGTCACGAAAATTCTAAATAAATCGATTAAATTAAAAATAATTTTAAAGCGATTGTGTTTACTGTGGAATAAACAGTCGTTAAACATGAGAATTGTTTTCTGCAAATTTATTGTGTTTTTGACGATTTTTACGAGTTTTTTTAAAATTTGATTTACTTACTATCTCTGTACAATATGAATCATAAAGATTTTACATCTTAGCGTTTCTAAAGTGAATGACTGACTATAAAAAGACTAGTTTCCCAGTAAAACCGGCAATGAAAACTTTACGGCGTTTAAAATACATCGTTCTGATTCAATTAAGGTTGTGATGTAATGATTTGTTTAAAAATAAATGTGTTATCTCATTTGCTTCAATTTTGTGATAAGAGAGTTCGGAAGTAATTATTCTCGAGTTTATTTTTTAACGCATTTTTTCTTATCTCTTGCGTTTTATTTTAGGTATATTTTCTTATTATCAAGAAAGCAAGAGTTCGAAAATTATGGAGTCGTTCAAAAACATGGTCCCTCAATTCGCTACTGTGATTCGCGAGGGTGAAAAACTGACCCTTCGTGCGGAAGACTTGGTCTTGGGCGATGTGGTCGAGGTGAAATTCGGTGATCGAATTCCAGCCGATATCCGAATCATCGAATCTCGCGGCTTCAAAGTAGACAACTCATCCTTGACAGGCGAATCCGAACCGCAATCTCGCAGTCCGGAATTCACTCACGAGAATCCTCTCGAAACGAAAAACTTGGCGTTCTTCTCGACCAACGCCGTCGAAGGCACTGCCAAAGGTGTTGTGATTAGTTGTGGTGACAATACCGTGATGGGTCGCATCGCTGGTCTCGCCTCCGGTTTGGATACCGGTGAGACACCCATCGCTAAAGAAATCCATCATTTCATTCACCTCATTACCGGCGTGGCTGTTTTCCTCGGTGTTACCTTCTTCGTAATCGCCTTCATCCTCGGCTACCACTGGCTCGACGCTGTTATTTTCCTGATCGGTATTATCGTGGCGAACGTCCCCGAGGGGCTACTCGCGACCGTCACCGTGTGTCTCACTCTCACTGCTAAGAGGATGGCTTCCAAGAACTGCCTCGTGAAGAATCTCGAAGCGGTGGAAACTCTTGGCTCCACAAGCACGATTTGCTCGGACAAGACTGGAACTTTGACTCAAAATAGGATGACAGTAGCACACATGTGGTTCGATAACCAAATCATTGAAGCCGACACCACTGAAGACCAATCGGGAGTCCAGTATGATCGCACAAGTCCAGGATTCAAAGCTTTGTCTCGTATTGCAACACTTTGCAACCGTGCTGAATTCAAAGGGGGCCAAGACAACGTCCCGATTCTTAAACGTGAAGTCAATGGAGACGCCTCAGAGGCTGCTCTTCTCAAATGTATGGAATTGGCTTTGGGCGATGTAATGTCCATCAGACGCAAGAACAAGAAAGTTTGCGAAATTCCTTTCAACTCGACCAACAAATACCAGGTTTCCATCCACGAAAACGAGGATGCTAGCGATCCTCGCCATATCCTTGTCATGAAGGGGGCTCCGGAACGTATCCTAGAACGTTGCAGCACTATCTTCATCTGCGGTAAAGAAAAAGTCCTCGATGAGGAAATGAAAGAAGCTTTCAATAACGCCTATTTGGAATTGGGTGGTTTGGGTGAACGTGTACTTGGCTTCTGCGATTTTATGTTACCCACTGACAAATTCCCAATTGGGTACAAATTTAACAGCGATGACCCCAATTTCCCGATAGATGGGTTGAGATTCGTCGGTTTGATGTCTATGATTGATCCCCCGAGAGCTGCAGTGCCTGATGCTGTTGCTAAATGCAGAAGTGCCGGTATTAAGGTCATCATGGTGACAGGAGATCACCCGATTACGGCCAAGGCTATTGCAAAATCAGTCGGTATTATTTCTGAGGGTAACGAAACGGTTGAAGATATTGCTCAACGGTTGAATATTCCGGTTTCGGAAGTCAACCCGAGGGAGGCCAAGGCTGCTGTCGTTCACGGATCTGACCTCAGAGATTTGTCTTCAGATCAACTCGACGAGATTTTGAGATACCACACTGAAATCGTATTTGCTAGGACTTCGCCGCAACAGAAGTTGATCATTGTGGAAGGGTGTCAACGGATGGGGGCTATTGTCGCCGTGACTGGTGAGTGGTGATGATAACTGTTTTAGGTTTGTTTTATGTTTGTGTCCTGTTCAGGTGATGGTGTGAATGACTCCCCGGCGTTGAAGAAGGCCGACATCGGTGTCGCTATGGGTATAGCCGGTTCGGACGTGTCCAAACAAGCCGCTGACATGATTCTGCTTGACGACAACTTTGCATCGATCGTAACAGGAGTCGAGGAAGGCCGTCTGATTTTCGATAACTTGAAGAAATCTATCGCCTATACTTTGACCTCAAACATTCCCGAAATTTCACCTTTCCTTGCTTTCATTTTGTGCGACATTCCTTTGCCTCTCGGTACCGTAACAATTCTGTGCATCGATCTTGGAACTGACATGGTGAGTTTAATTCCATTGTTCATACGATATGATTACTGTTTTTTGACCCCATAATTATTACAAAGAAAAATTTTATGAATTAATAAGGCATCAGTTGTACGGTTGTAAAAATGTTGTTTCATCAAAAGGTGCCGGCCATTTCTCTCGCTTATGAAAAAGCCGAATCCGACATTATGAAACGACGGCCACGTGACCCGTACTCTGATAAATTAGTTAATGAAAGGTACAAATAAATTCAGTGCAGATTAATAATAAGCATGTAGAGTTACTTTTCGAATTTTTTCAAATTTGCACTGGTAGGCTCGGTTTAAGACACTTTTATTTTACATTTGAATAGTAGATAGTCTACGTTACGTTCTTTCAGTAGATTTTATGCGGAAGGTCACGGTTTTGAACGACAAGGTACGTCTTGCTCAGTTACTTTTTCAGTTGTGATTTCGTCCTGTAGGGCTTTTTCTTCACACCTGAGCTTCATAAGAAATCAAATTAAGTTTGATGTGGAAATAACAGTTCGTTATTTACACATATTTTTGTTTCATTTCACACCAAAAAATCCTGTTCGTTTTTTAACCTTTATTTATCCAAATGACCAAAACATCAAAATTATCTCACTATTGTCACAATACCATTATTTGTTATTTTTATTTGTTTTTTGTTTTTCGATAAAACATAGGTTCCAGCCATTTCTTTGGCATATGAGGAAGCAGAATCTGATATTATGAAGAGACCACCCCGAGACCCACAGAATGATAAACTTGTCAATGATAGGTGCTGTTTTCTACATTTTTTTTTATTCTAACGTGGTCGTTTTATTTTGTGTTGACTTTTTGAACTAACTGTATATATTTGCAGTATTTTTGGGGATTATTAAACACTAATAACGGGTTGCACTGATGCCTGATGGGATAAAGTAACTGCATGTTTTGGGAGTATTGTAACATTAACAATTAGAATAATTTGTAACATTAATTCGATTAATTTTTGACAAGCTTAATGTCTTGTCCATGGGGTTGTATCGTTTGATTTTTGTGGGTTTATTGTATAGCTATAATGAGGACAAAAAAACACAAACACACATTTCCCTTTTCCATGTATCACGCATAATGCGTAGTTGCCTTGCTTGGCACAGCTTACTCGACCCCTAGTCTCTTAGAGAAGAACAGATGTGCGAATCATAGTACGAATTTGTTCAAATTGCATTTTCTCTCCTAAATTTTGATGAAATTGTGAAATTATGGTTTAGCTATGAGTGGGAAAATGTAACGTGAATGAAGTTAGTAGAAAAGTTTGCTACGCCTTGTCGTAATTTTAAGGGCGCAGTTTGGCACGTTGAGTATAGTTAAGGCACATCTGCATATCGTACTAGAGTTAGGCAAGTCAAGGAGCAGTGCTGGCATGTAAGTGTGCCCTCCCGGTTCATTGTTGTCCCTTCCACCTCCCAAGTTTTTGTTTTGACGTGTATTTGTTTGGCCGAGCTCAGGTCCCCGCCATATCCCTGGCATACGAGGAGGCAGAGTCTGATATAATGAAGCGCCGTCCTAGAAACCCTTTCAGTGATAAACTCGTCAACGAAAGGTAATAGGAATGTCACGTGTCTCTCCTCTTCATACCTATAATACGAATCGAATTGGATCAGAACGAAATGTACCGTATGCCATGCGTACGCGATAACTTCTGCTTCCCCTTATAATCCTCCCTTTTGTGTTTTGGTCCTTTACTCAAATTTATTTCGCTTTTTTGCTTCGCCGCAATGTTACGAAACAAGCACTCGTTTTTGGGTGATTTAGAACGGAGAAAAACGATTGGTTGTTTCGCCAAGGCGCTTTTGTGCGTAGTGTTCGTACGAGGGGTAAGTCGTTATTTAATTTCGAGAAGCACATCATTCATTCTGCACCCCGCTTATCAGCTGAGGCCCTCGTCCCTTCTCCCATCCCGCAACTTCTTTGACACACCAAATATCTAGACAGGTCTAACTCAACTTTTGCATGGTCGATTTCTCACTACTAACTTTGTGTGTTGCGCCGGCCACTGTATAGGTGCCTGCTATTTCTCTGGCTTACGAAGCCCCGGAGTCCGACATAATGAAACGTCAGCCGCGCGACCCCTATAGGGACAACCTGGTTAATCGCAGGTGGGTCGCTGAGCGGTGTCGTCGCGGGTAATAGCACCACAACTACAACCTCGGCACATGATGCGCGGTTTTAAGTGTCCCCAACTTTTTTTCTTGCTCTCATGCCTGTCTCACAGTACGTCCCGAAAGTCGCTGTTCTGGCACTCTGTGTCTCTCGTTCAAAACACCCAGTTATTGGAATGTTAGCACCGATGAGAGTTGCAGGCAGAAAACTAATTCGCGCTCTCGAAAAATAGAAACTAGTTGAATTTGTTTGATTCATTTGGGAAAAAATACCGACAATTAAAGGTCTTGCAAGTTTAGTATGTTTACCTCCGCAGTTTTTAGGGGCAGTGGCGTAACCGGTGTTCGTGACTCGAATTTTTTGTGTTTAATTATTCAAAACGAATTTTTGTAAAGACAGAATTTTTTTCTTGTGTTGTTACGCCACTGGATTCCAGGTCGCAACTTAATTTATTTCATCAACAAAGTGCATTTCTCGTGGAATTTGTTGTGACAGCTAGGACTTCACTTTCCGGTTGAGTTTTGCTTGTTTGCGGTCGGAGTTTTTCTCGTAGTTAAGCTATTTTGAGAGTTTTTTGCCGAGGTATAGTTTGTGATGCCCGTAGAGCATTTTTAGACAAGAGCACAATTAGCAATTTTTTTTCTTGCTCTAGGTGTGTTGAACACACAAGATACTCTGCCTTCAACATTTTGATAGTTCTTTTTTCTGTTTTCCAATAGAATAGTTTAGTAAGATAGTTTGTAGTTTTCAAAGGAAAGAAAGGAGTTTTGCATGCAACACACACCTGTCTAAAATTTTACCATTTATACCTTCCTCGGTATGCTTCTTTGGAATAGATCTATGGACTTTTTCATAGATTTGAGTAGAGTAGTTGCTTTAATTTTGTTTTTATGTAAAGACGAGTTTTAATTTTTATTGGATTTTGAAATTGAATATTCTCTAATTAGTCTTGATTCTCTATTATAGTTCAGATATTTTTAGCACAATCTTTAAATTTTTTTGTACACTGAACAGATCGTGTCGCTTTATTTATTATTTATTGCCTCTTTTCTCTCTGATCTGTTTATTATATAATTATAAAACTTGTTTCTTGTCGGTCAAACGTATCAAGTAAGTAAAACTTTAATTTAGTTATATTCAAAGAACCATACATGATCCTCTCACTAATCCACTTTTTTCCCAGTATGAAGCAGAAGTAACGCTTACAGTATGATAATGCATCGTTTTATTATCATGTTAATAATAGTCACTTTGCAAATTAATAATTTTACTCACATGATATAAAAGCGTTGTAACACACGATGGTAATATACTTAATTGTACAAAATGCATGTGGTTTAATGTACTATTTGTGCTATAATTGTAACAGCATGATTTGTGGGATGTGCTTTCGTAAGTATAAATGGGACTTGTCGTGACTTTTTGGAAAGATATTTTGTACTTAAAATGGAATTATTGAACGTTTAATCCAAAAAGTCAACCAAGATAATAGGTAGTTGAGTTTTTCATACATTTGCTGACTTTTTAAATGGTATCTAGGTTGATTTCGATGGCATACGGCCAGATTGGTATGATTCAAGCAGCTGCTGGTTTCTTCGTGTACTTTGTCATCATGGCTGAGAACGGCTTCCGACCGACTGACTTGTTCGGTATTAGAAAACAATGGGATTCGAAAGCTGTCAATGATCTCACCGATTCCTACGGTCAGGAATGGGTTAGTGGTCTCGTTTTGTGTTTAAACGCGATTTGAATAAATATTTTTGTGTAGACGTATCGGGATAGGAAAACATTGGAATACACATGCCACACTGCTTTCTTCGTGTCCATCGTGGTGGTCCAATGGGCCGATTTGATCATTTGTAAGACTCGTCGTAATTCAATCGTCCATCAGGGAATGCGTAATTGGGCGCTCAACTTTGGATTGATTTTCGAAACTGCACTCGCAGCCTTCCTTTCTTACACTCCCGGAATGGATAAAGGTCTACGCATGTTCCCGCTTAAGTACGTTACAGTTTTCTGTAAATGAATTGATTTTGATGTGATTATTTTAAAGGTTTGTGTGGTGGTTGCCTGCAATTCCGTTTATGTTGTCCATCTTTATTTACGACGAAACCCGTCGATTTTATTTGCGTCGCAATCCAGGAGGCTGGCTGGAACAGGAGACCTACTACTAAGCGCATCACACCGTTTTGCGTACTGCCACCAGGTAGCACTGCGTCTGCTGCCGCAGGTCACAAATAACAACAAACAAAACAAAACAAAAATTCACACACTCATCTGTCGATTGGAAGGACTCCGTTTCACTCGTCGTGACGGCGTTGTTCCGTATCGGTCGTTGTGTACAAAATCCTGTTGCTATTTCTAGTAAATTTGCTGCATGCTTACGCTGCAGTCCGTACATTTGTAATTCGAGAGTTTGGTAGTGTGCGAGAATCGAGTGAATGGATGATGAGAGAGCGAGGATGATTGCAAGCGGGGCCAGTTGGGTTGGTTGGTCTGCAAGAGCAGCAGTAGAGACGCAATAGTGTTTTCATACATTCCAAGTTGAAAACAGTTGCCTTAGAGCCGATGTCGGACTGTGTGCGAGTGGGTGGGGGCGGAGCCTTGACGGACGGCGGTTGGTTGTTGCGCGGCCTTCGGGGCTCCGCCACTGAACGTCTTGAACGAGGTAGTATTATTTAGGCTTTCAACACTTAGGTTAGCTAGATTGTAACTGTGTTGTTATATCGTGTTAAGTGTCATACCAGTCGTGCTCAATACACATGACTACCAACTACTATCACGATTGTAAACGTTTGACATTCGTTTCGTTTGTTGTGTATATAGTTTACGTAACGGGCGGGTAGCAGTTACACTGTGTAGGCAGCACGAGTCCATAATATTGTTTCTAACATCGTTACGTTACGTGCGGTTAGTTGTTCATCGTTGGAGACACACTTCTGGAGGTCTGCTTCTGTAGAGCCCTATTTTCTTATACTCTCTGATGCGCGCTGCGTTGGTCTGAGACCAGCCGACCACGGTATTGTTATCTTATTATTGTAAATATTTTTAAGTGATCACTTAATTATTTTTGCTTGTGTTCTTTTCACATTCATGTTTTAGTAAGTAACGAAGCTGTATAAATTTGGGTTTTAATAAAATGGATGATAGTATTACATTACAAACTGATTTTTATTCTCTTCCCTTTCATACACTTATAAAAGAAAGATGAAAAAATACAATAAAAAAGTATAATATACACTCCACGACAAAACTGTCACGTAGATGTAAATTTTACGGAGAACTGTTATATTAGAAGACAAAACGAGATACAAAATCGTTAGATTTTTTGGACCCAAAAAAAGTAGTACGCCAGAGTAACAATGAAGGCGCTTAGAGCGTTTTACCGTCTCAGCTTCAAATCGTTTTAAATTAACTTAAATTCAACCAGTTTACACTAATTATTTGGAAAAAATGCAAAAATGTTGGGCTTTACATTCTTAATAAGCTGTGAAAAAGGAACGACTAAATTTTTCACGAGAAATTTGAACAAAAAAATATATAAAATTTAAAATTTGTGCTCCGTTTTATGTTTTTTAAAATGTGCGAATAGGTACGGAGAAAGATACAAGAAAAATGTAAAAAAGAAAGTTGTTAGAGAATAAAATTTCCTAGTAAAAAGTCCGCGAGGCCATACTTTTATCTTTAATGGTTTAGGTTTCAAAGCCGCTCAGGCACGGATTTGTTTCATTTTTACTGGTGACTAACTGCCGGGGGAACACTTTAAAGCAATTTAAACCTAAACCGATGAAGATAGAAATATGGTATTGAGGACTTTTTTGTAGCAAATTTTATTCTCTATAATTTTGTTTGTTACACGTTTTTTGTATCTTTAACCGTATTCGTAGCGTTCTCAAAAATATTTGGTGGAACGCAAATTAATGATTGTTTATAATTTATTTTTAATACTGTTTGTACGGTATTTTTGAAAACTCTGCGAAAACGAAATGTATGAAAAAAGTGTAGAGAATTAAATTTCCTACAAAAAAGTCCGCGAAAACATATTTCTATCTTCAACCATTTAGGTTTAAATTAATTTTCTGTTTCTTGACCACCAGTAAAAATGACGTCGCTTGAACGGCTTTGAAGATAGAGGTATCGCCTTTTTTCTTGGAAAATTTATTCTCTACAACTTTTTTACATTTTTCGTGTATCTTTAACCGTATTCGCAATAGTTTGAAAAAAATGAGACGGGGCGCAAATTGGTAAATGTTTAATTTTTTTAAATACGTATAGTTTTCAATAAAATTTTTGCCATATCTTTATCTCTTATTACTGAGAAGTTAATGCTCCATCTGCTTATAATTTTTTTGTTTGCATTCTGTTCACCGTTATGTAAATACGGATATTAAATCAAAACGACATGTTGATAGGATTGTGTTTAATGACATTTTCTTTCTCTTTGATATTTCGATTAGTTAGCATTATCAACGCTGAGTGGTGTAAAATAGTCTATTATTGTCATATTCGAGTAAAATGCTATTTGACGATTAAAAAAAATATTTCCGCGAAAGAACGTGCGGTGGTGGAGGCGTTTTCCGAAAAAGGCGAATCTCAACAATCTATTGCTCAATGGTTAGGAGTAACTCATCTACTATTCCAAAGGTTCTAAATCGAATTAGAAAGACAGGTGTCAATAAGAGATTGTCGGGTCAGGGTAGAAAACAGGTCACCGCATTTCAAGTCAGATTTTGCCGCATTCGAGCACTGAGACAACGATTAGTGACAACTTCTAGCTTGAGTTAAGAGTTTTTCCGAATGTATCATACTCAAATTTGTCAGAAGACAACCGTTTGTAGTCGCAACTGGTCCTCTTTTAAACGCAGAGCACCACAGAAGACGTCTGAAGTTTGCTCGCCAACTCCAAAATTGACAAAAAGTTGACCAAAATTGCGTAAGACATTTAATACAGAATACGGATAGGCGATGTCAAGCAGTAATTACCAAAAAAAGAATAAATACGCATTATTAGACACTTTTGTCTTCTAATTTAAAAAAACTGTTATGTGAATTTTTAAAACGTCCCTCTATTTCGCATTGTTTCATGTTAATAATAAAAATATACGGACTAATTACCTGCTTTATGGTATTAGACAAAATTTAGACAACATAAATTTGGTTTTACTTGGTTTCGAAAAATATGCGACAATTTTGGCACAGAGTGCATTAAAAAAATAAAAATAAATTTTGCAATTTTGGTGGATGCGCCGGGTGATTCTCATTCGAGTATGTTTTACGAACTGAATGAGAATGTTTTCTTTGCGAAGGGGAAAATAAGTGCCAAGCTTTTTGAATTTTACGATGTAATGAACACATTTTTACATTAAAAAAATTATAAAAATATTAACGTAAATTTTATATACATACATGAGTTACATCAATAATTGCACACACTGTAAAAATATATCTACAATTGCTTACGAGTTCAGGAAACACATTAAGTACAAAAATCAAGAAGCATACACGTTCTTATAATACCAAAATTTGTTAGTGAATTTTATACTTCGTAACTTGTAACAAAATAATGAGACTAGCAATTACAATAAATTTAAAAATTATACTAAGTTGTAACTGAGTGCTGACTGCTTGTCATCGTGTAAGTGTGGGCCATCCACTGGTAGTAAGCCAGCCTCTGTGCATGACCGACAGCAGAACTTGGCGTAATATTTGTGCGAACAGAATTTCGCTTTTACAATAAGGTTGCAGTTGGCGAAGAAGCGGTTGTCTTTGCAATTGGGATGTATAAACATTTCTAAAATGAAACAATGTAAGACTTTACACTATAAACAACGTAAAATTACCATCAACTAGAATTGTGAGGCTGCTGCTTGCTTTAGAATAAGAATTTGCCGCTTCGCACTGATAAACCCCGGAATCCGCTTTAGTTGCTCGTAAAATCGTCAGTTTGTTATTATCTACAAGTAAAAATTGCACACAGAAGATTCAATTTATTAAACAAACCTGAAATATGGACTCGTTCGTTTGGACTTAACGAGATACCGTCTTTATACCACTGGACTTGCGGAGCTGGATATCCTTCCACGTCACAAGGAATTACAATATCCGAATTTACAGGGAATCGCTGATTGTCAGTTGTGATATTTGCTGTGACGGGCACTAAATTCAAAACGTTTCACTGACTGGTTGTAAAATATCAGGAAAATGTTATTTTTGCACTCAAAACTACATTTACTAGTGTTAATCACAAACTACTTTACCGAAATAAGTGGCAGGTCCAGGGCCGGGCTCTCTATTCGGGAAAATTTCGTTATTGGCCGGTGGTAAGTACGGTGGAGAGGTGGGTCTATAGATAGGTGGAGCTGGCGTTGTGGGCAATTCAGGTGGGTTCACAATATATTTCAAATATTTTTGATCTTTAGGATTGGTACTATGGTAAGGACCTCTCGCTTTCACCGCAACCGACCAACTGGCAGCTTTCCCAACACCGTTATAGGCTTGACAAGTATATACTCCAAGATTTGACAGTTTTACAGAATGGATAAGAAGAGAGTAGTCTTTGCGAACTTCAAACTGGCTTGTTTTTAAGGGGATAAGACTGTCATCTTTCCACCAGGTGACAGCAGGGAAGGGATAACCCAAGGCTAGACAATTGAGGGTTGCTGGAGCGTTAAGTGACACAACAACGTTGGGTTGACTCTCAGGTTCCAGTACGGTGGCAGGCCGGGGAGGACCGTCTAAGTTTAGTTATTAGTTAAAGATTAGAACAAGATCTACCACACAGTATTAGATGTTGTTAACTACAAGAAAACTACAACCACACAAGAAGGTACTTACCGATGACGTTCAGTACTATTTTGTTAGTTATTGGTTCACCAACACTGTTATCGGCGGTACATAAGTATACACCAGAGTCAGTTTTATGCAACGTTATGATTTGCAAGGATTGATCCAACTTAATCCTATATTTGGCTTGAGTACCATCAATCTACAAAAGAAATTATAGCTTGTAACAAGTAATACAAAATTAGTTACCAAAATATCATCTTTCTTCCAGGTTATTTTAGGATTAGGGTTGCCAGTGACAGCACATCTCAAAGTCACGTGATCACCAATAAGGCCTTGGACTTCAGGTTCATACGTTTGGACGTCGATTTTAGGTGGATAGTCTGTAACAAATATGTTTGTGGGAGAATTCAGTGAAATAATTATAACACTTACAGTCACTTTGTATTGGTGCTTCAGTATAAGCTGGTTGGTACTGTTGCGTAACCAATTCTGCTGGTACCGTTGGCTCGATGCACGAAGTACCACAACCAGTGGAACAACATTTTAGGTGCAAAGGACAATCTGCATCGTTTCTACATTCCTGTTCGCAGTTATTTTGTTCGTGGTGTTCCAAAATCGGACATTGGCCATTTTTGTTGACTAAAACCAGAACTAAGTACTCACATTTACATTGGTTTGAGCCCTACTTTCTCTACAAATTGCTATAAAGTCAGGATCTTGACTACTAGTTTTGTTTCTGTTGATGTCGATGGCACATTGAGAATTCGGGGGGCAGTCAACTTTGCTACAAGGGTTTTGGCACTGGCACCGATTACACTGATTATCGTCGACGTATGCTTCAATACCATAGGGGCATCGTAAAGTGGCACATTCGTCGAAATGGGCTTGGCATGGATGATCTTGAGGACCCACTGCTAAATACCAAAGAATTAATTAGGACAATTGTGGTTAAAATTCGACAATGAGAGTGAATGAAAAAGCTCAGCATGGTCCGTGGCAGTGTGTGCGTGGTGTTGAGAGTGTGACAATAACACAAATCGACTTACGAGGTTGAGTTACACTCAAATAATCTTTACAGAATGTGACACACGACTGGAATGTTTTAAAGTTATTTAAATTTCCACCGCAACCACTGAATATGAAGGCAATGCATTCCCCACGTGCATTATCGAAGTACCAACGTTTGTGGTAGCCATCTTGACAGGAACCCGTATCCACGGGTAATTCACAGACGGCTAAAGAACAATAAGTACTGTACCATCTCCCAAAGAAGAGAAACATTTTTCGGGTACTTACCAGTACTGGTAACATTGCTTCGATCCTCCTCGTGGGTCACACAAATCTTTTCGCACTCTTCACTCGAACTAAACCTGTTACCATTGCCACCACAACCACCATAAATGAAGTTGGCGCATCGTCCTATACCTCTGTCGTAGTAGTACTTGGGGGTGTAAGCTTCACAGGGGCCTCGCTCCATCGGCATATTGCAGACATCTTCACAAAATTACAATCACAATAATAAATATCGCAATAAATACCTTGTCCTCTGAATCTACCACATTGTCTTTCGCACTGTTCTTCACTACTAAAACGGTTAGCATTACCGCCACATCCAGTATACGTGAAAGGAGTGCATGTTCTAGTTGCCGGATTGAAGAAGAAGACCGAAAGATTATCGGTGCAATTTCCAGGATCTGGTTGTTCGTAACACATGGCGGTGCTTGGGGGCGTTTGCACTAAAATTTACGTTAGTTGGGGTTTTATAAATTATGGTACTCACCAGGAGGTGCTTGCGTCAGCGGAATTTGTGGACTCGGGGGACTCCTCTTGCATCTTTGCTCACACGATGCTTTATCCGGGAATCGGTTATAGTTACCCTCACAGCCCCCATAATTGAACGCGTGACACGAATCGGTGCGTTCGTCGTAGTAGAATTGTTCGTATTCGGAATTACAAGGACCAACAACCGGCGGGAGTTTACACAAATCTGTGAAAATCACAAAATTCAGGTGAAAAATTGAAAGCTGGTAAAGTACCTTGAGCGTTTCCGCAGTTTTGCAAACATTGATCCACTGATTCGAAATTGTTTCTGTTGCCATTACAGCCAGTGTAGGTGAAACCTTTACACACACCATCAGTTCTGTCGTAGAAGTAGCGTAATTGTGCTTCTCGGCAATTGCCTGGTTCGCTTGGTAGGAAACACATATCTGGAAATAGTTTATGAGAATTTCATTATGCTTCTTTAGTAGTACCTGTGGTAAATTGTCCATTTGGTACTTGAGGTGGTTCAGGTGCACGTCTTTTGTCACACCTTTGTTCACATTGTTGCTGTGTTTCGAAGTTGTTTCCGTTTCCTCCACAACCACCATAGTAGAATTGCCGACAAGTTTTCTCTCTTGTATCGTAGTACCAACGATCGGTATAATTGCCACAAGTACCAGTATCCGCAGCTAACTGACACAAGTCTTTTTCTATACAAGAAAATGAAATTAGAATTGTCCCAAGTATTAGAAATTGGCGGTTAGTTTTCGTGCAATTACTCACCGATTTCTTTCGGACAGTCAGTTTCGCATGCTTCTCTACTGTTGAAGTTATTGTTATTACCCTCACAACCCGAATAATAAAAGGGCAAGCATTTCTTTTCAGGCATGTCGTAGTACCAGCGAGGGATTCTTTCCGTGCAACTACCCTGAGCTCTAGGTAAAGAGCAGTGATCTAACACCGAGTTAGTAATTATTTACATTACATGCCAATTAAAGTTACAACATGCAAATTATACAGGTGTTGAAAGGACTTACCTTTTTTACGACCAGGTTGCGTACATTGCTGTTTGCAGGCTTCTTCCGTTGGGAAATTATTATTATTTGATTTACAGCCCCCGTAAATAAATTGTTGACAACTTTGACTGGTCTTGTCGTAGTACCACCTCAAATAATTACCTTTACACGGTCCTTCATCCTTTTCTTGCTCACACGCGTCTAAAAACCATTATTATTTGTGTCACCACTTTGCATATTTCTTTCTTACCGACACTATCGTCTTTCACACAAAGCGAAATGCACTCTTCTCGTGTCTCAAATCTGTTGTTATTGCCCAGGCAGCCCCCATAGATAAATTGGGCGCAATGTTTTCGTTCCGTATCGTAGAACCATTGAGGGTAGTACCCTTCACAAGGACCCGGTATTTTGGGGAGTTTGCATCTATCTGCGCAAAAACTAATTTAACGTTTAAATGGGGTGGTAGGGATTTATTACCGATGCCTTCTGGTTTGACACAAATATTGTCACATTCCTCTTTCGACTTGAAACGGTTGTTGTTGCCGTCACATCCTCCGTACCAGAATCTGGAACAACCACCGTAGTCCATGTCGAAGAACCATTTGACGGTGTAGTTCCGACACGTTCCGCGTTCTTTCGGTTGGGTACAACTTTCCTGAAGGTTTTGCGGAATTTCGGGACAACCTTCGAAGTTGTCTCCAAGCGCTTCGGTTGTACCGTCGAGACAACAGCCATATTTGCTGGAAGCGCAACCACAGCCGGCGTAGTTGGGGCCTTGGGCTGGGGTGCTGTCGTCGGAACAGCATCCAAACTCGGTATTTCGGCAGCCGCAACCTAAAAAAAAATTTTGAGGTTGTAAAGGACATTTGGGAATAATTTACCTTGTTGGTGAGGTCCTTTGGCCACAGTGACTCCGTCAGGGCAACAACCGAATTGGAAAGTGTGACACAGACAGCCTTGATAATCGGGACCAGCTGCTGGAGTGTACTCATCAGGGCAACACCCATGTTCGGTGTATTGACACCCGCAACCTTCATTGTTATGGCCTCTAGCTGCAGTGACGTTATCAGGACAACACCTGTAGGGTGAATATTGACATCCACATCCTTCCAAATTTGGTCCTCGTGCCGGTAAAATATTATCAGGACAACAACCAAACGGACTTGCCAAGCAACAACCTTCACCGCTAGGTCCATGCGCTGGTGTAATTCCATCAGGACAACATCCGAAGTCTTTCTCAGCACATGGCGTTTTACAACCTTTATAATTCGGGCCTTGTGCTGGAGTAACACCGTCAGGACAGCACCGGTAGTACGATTCTGTGCAGTTTGTGATGTTGCACCCTTTATAATGTTCTCCTTGAGCGGTTTGTACACCATCTGGGCAACAACCCCACTTGGTAGTGTTGCAATTTGTTCCAGGTGCTGCTGTCGTCGTTGGAACTTCTTCTTCTTTGCAACCTTTGTGTTTGGGACCTTTAGCTGCAGTGACGTTATCTTCGCAGCAACCGTATTTTGCTTTGAGACAGGCTGGTGGCGGTGGTGGACAACCTTCTTTGTTGTTACCCTCAGCTGCTGTTTTGTTGTCGGGACAACAACCAAACAGGGTTTCATTGCAGTGAGTTGAGGGGCATCCTTTGAATTTTCGGCCCAAAGCGGGTGAAACGCCGTCTTCGCAACATCCGAATTTAGACTCCTTGCATGTTTTCGGGTTGGGGCACCCTTTATCGAATGGTCCTTCAGCTGGAGTAATTTTGTCCCAACAACAACCGAACATTGTCTTTTTGCAATCTTTCTGTTTCTTTCTCTTGCACATTCGTGGTTTTAAGGTTTCGAATATGTCGGTAATAGGAGTGGTGCTCCAAACGTCTGTGGCAGTTTCTTCCGTGGGACCGCTTTCTGTCGTTGATGTCCAAATGTCATAATCGGTTGGTGTGGTCTCTGTATATTCTGTTGATTCAGTACTTCCAGGTGATTCAGTACTGCCGGTGAATTCAGTTGTGGTTTCAGTAGCACCTGATTCAGTACTTCTTTCCGACGACGTATCAGAGGTTTCAGAACTTTCCATTGGTTCAGTTGTCGATTCAGAACCACTCTTTGATTCTACTGTTGTATCAGTCATTCCACTTTCGGTTACATCAGTAACACCACTTTCTGTCATTTCACTGTCAGTGGACTTCATGGTCGTGGCTTTGTCAGCTCCAATATCTGATTCACCAATAAAGTCTGCGCTTGGTTCTGGAGACAATGAAGACTCAATGGTTGTTGCTTCCGAGCTGCCGCCTTCTGTAGTGGCACTACTTTCAGTCGCCGATGAAAGATCAACACTTGAAGTACTATCGACCGAAGAAGATTCGCTTGAATCAGAACTTTGAGTTGAAGCAGAATCGGTACTATCCGTAGTGTCAGGTGAATCAGTACTCATAGTACTTTCTGTGGGATCAGTACTTTGCGTAGGATCAGTAGTTTCAGTAGAATCACTTTCTGACGTTTTATCAGAAGATGAATCACTACTGGAACTGGAAATTTCTGTGGTCATGTCTGACGATTCTGTTGTAAAATCTGATGATTCAGTTGTCATGTCGGATGATTTAGACACGTCAGATGAACCACTCGTTTGATCTGATGAAGCTGTTGTAACATCTGAACTAGCATCTGAAGAATCTGTAACTCCCGAAGAATCCGTACTTTCGACACTACTTTTACTGCTGTCAGTGCTGTCACTGCTAGCAACTGTTGTAACTTCAGTCTCAACACTTGATCCACTGTCGGTTTCAATAGGAGTATCAGTTTCAAATGTTGGTGATCCTGTATCTCCGGAACCTTCCATGGTAGTTTCCAATGGTACCGTAGAACCACCTGAACTACTTGGTTCACTTGTAAGTTCTTCATCTCCGGAACCAGAAACTGTAGTACCTTCACTCCCGATAGGTGATGATGGAGCATCGCTCAACATTAAGTCATCCGCTGATAAATCAGTTTCTTTCGACCATCCAGTTACACTAGAATCGGTACTTGAACCTAATTTATCTTCACCCTGTGTAATACAATGCAAAAAGTAATGTAACCATTATTCTGAGTCGCAGAAAAATAATTATACCATTGGTTCAGTAACACCTTCTTTCAAATCTTCCGGACGTCCTTTTTCATCAACCCATACACCATCTTCACATTCGTCATCAGGAACTATCTCATACTCATCATCCTGAGTCGTAGGTTTATCGTCTTCTGTTGCAGGAGTTTCTTCTGTTACAGGACTTTCTTCCGTTGGCTCCAACGACTCAGACTCGTCAATAGACTTAGTAACATCAGTAGGCAAAATGGTATCTAAAACAACCAACACTTATCCAAATGTCCGTTAAGAAAAAAACAACAACCTTCAGAGCAAGGTTGCGTGTTACACGGTTCATCGCCGAAAATAATTTCGTCAGGATTACATTCGGAAGCATCCACTACTTGAAAATCTTTCAAACAAACAACTTTCTTGGTTTTTTCGCCACCACCACAAGGTTTGGAACACTCCGTCCACGGCCCACTATACCATTCCCCTGCACACTTTTCAACTTCTCCAGTGCAATTCCTAATCAGTTCGTACGTTTTATTTTGATCACATTTTTCATTTTCGACTTTCTTGACACTTCCGTCTTCACCAACAAGTCCGCAAAATAGACTACGGGTTTGGACACCTTGTCCACATTGAGCAGAACACTACTAATACCATTACAATAAGAACAGTTTTCAAGGGAGTTAATGAAATAAAACTGTAATCACCTCACTCCATTGCGAAGCATACCAGTTGTACTCGCAGGCGGGTTTCGTAGCATTGCATTGTTGTACCATTTCCGGTTTTTGGTCAGCGTCACAAAGGTTGTCGGGGTACACAACACCGGCGGCAGTAGCGCATTGGACTTTCCGAGTTTCATTCGTTAATCCACATTTATCACACTACAATTCCACTTAGACTTACCAAAAGCCAAAAGTACTGACTTACCCCACTCCACCTTGAAGTTATCCAATCGACACCTTCACAAGGTCTCAGATTACATTTCCGTTCAGTTTCTGGTTTAGGCTCTACGGGTATACACTCCGAATCGTCCATAATTTCAATGTTTGAACCTTCCTTCCGATAACACTTTACTTGCCGAGTTTCTTTACCGTCACCACATAGGTGGTCACACTAATTGCAAAACATTAGCAATAATTGTCTTTTTTGTGAAGTTTACTTACCGGTTTCCAGGGTCCTATATGCCACTTTGCACAAACTCGTCCTTTGTTACATTCTTGTTGTTGCGGTGGTTTGGGAAGTCGAGCACATTCAGACTCATCAACCAAAGAAGGGTAACCATTTGAAATAATTTGTTGGCAAGCTATTTCCCTAGTTTGGACACCACCCTCACCACAAGGTGCCGAACAGTTACCCCAAGGGTATGGTACCCACTGAGCTTCACAAGGTACTTCTGCACATTTCTGTGATGATGGTGGTTCGTTGTTAGCATCGCAAAGACTGCGATCTACCGGTTCTAAACTTCGACGACCAGCACAAGTCACATTTCTGTATTGTACCCCTATTTAAGAAATATCACAGTAAGGAGAATTACTAAATGAAGAATAGTACCTCCTCCACAAGTTTGAGTACAAGGAGTAAACTGGTCAAAAGTCCACGCATAACTTTCGGTTTCGTAGCCTGGCTGAATATTGGTTGGGAGGCTGTACTCGTAAGCTACCCCGACGTTATGGTCTTGGAATAGCATCTACAAAATGTGTTTTTGGTGGTACCTCACGGTACAACTTGGGTTAAAACTTACAACAATGAAGAGAGCTTCGTCTATGGGCCCCAAACAAGTGATTTTATCGGGGGCTGAGAACCCTTGGGGGTCCCGATTGTAGTGGAATTTGCACCCTGCAAACTCCATGGTTCTTGGAAAGTCGATCCGCCAATTACCATTCAAGTAATAGTGGCCTGAAGTGTTTCGTACTGCTAGATAATTGTTTGACGGTGCGACCTCTTCCACCAAAATATTAGTAGCCCCCGCTGGTATTAAAAGAATGTCATTGTATCCCACTTGAAGGTCTTGCATGTCTAATAGCCCCCTTACTGTTTTACAAGTATTCCCATCACCCCCACAAACTCTACACTTATCCTCTCGAACGTCCGACCCCAGCATCATGTCGCACCCTACTGGCTACAGATTTATTTTAGTTTGAAACTTCAATTAATAGTTTCGCAATTACTTGACATTTTCCGTTGATGCAAACATCGGGGCTTTCGTCGTTGCATCTGGTACCATCGGCGACTTGGTTCCTGTGTCTGTAATAGAACCTCTCACCTCTGGGCATGCAGTTGAGTTCACACGGATTGGGCGCTTTCGTGTATGGAATCCATCTAAAAAACTGCTTTAGTTTCCTGCCTGCGCTTCTAATCATTTTACCTACTGGTAAAGTACCCCATTAAAAGGGACACTATCGAATTCCGAGCATTGCTGCGCCCTGAAATCTCCAATATCCGGACAATCCTGAAAATAATCGCCGGTTTTAACTTAATAAGAAGATTAAAAGCGACGCGGTGTGATTTTATCTTCAAAAAGGAGGTAGTCCTGTTATTAATTGTTGCGTCAGGAGTCGCTGAGTAATGACTCTCTTTATCTAAAAGCACGTGGAAGTCGAGGGCAGAGGATTTTTCAACTTTTTTAAAATTCTTAACTGATTATAATAATTCGTCAAGATAACGCGACCGGCCTTGAACTTGGACAGCATTAATGAAAGGGTCTTAGGTGTGCTTACGGAGAGGAATTTCTTTTTTTAGACACCGACACGTGGTTGGAATAACTAGACGTATGATTGGGTCCATTGTCTAACTGTCCACTACGTCAAGTAAGTTATTGACCGTGTAATGGCCGTTGGAACCATTGCTAATTGTCGTAATAATTGATTTACGCTTTGATCTATTGATTGCTGAATGCAAAATCAATTGACTCGAACAATAAAACATATTGAACGCAAGAGACACAATCAGTAATTCTTCTGCCATTAGTTACAATTATCGCGAATTCCTTGGGGCATGAAAGAAAAACAAATATCAACTTAGGAAGATCGGTATAGGATATTTCTCCCAGGCGTATATTTAGTTGCATAAGGAAAAAACGAAAACCTCAATTCCGGAGTTCAAATAAAAGGAAAAGTAGAATTTACAAAGGAATTTAATAAATCTGAGGAAACCTGTATTTAAAAAAGAGGCACTAATTGTAGGGACAGTCCATTCCGGCCAGATAAATACCACCTTCTTCCTGGCACCCTGCAAATGTTTTAAAATATTTTCTTTGATGTACCGCTTTAGAACGGAAGACTTAACAACCTCTTGTTAGCATGGACAATCTCCACAACAATATCTTAAAATAAAATTATTTTCTTAATGAACTTCACGGAATGCATTTTATGTAATTTTATCAAAACCAAATTCATTTCCTCCTATCATTAATTTCCCGCAAGTTTATTTAGAGTGACGATAAATTAAGTAAGTGATTTTGAGGAAACCCAACGCAAACATTGCGAATTCTCATGAATCGGTTTGTTTAAGCGCGGTCATTGCTCATGTAACACCTAAAAATAGTTTAATTGTGCCAATGTCTCCTTACCTGCGTATTGCACGAGAAATGCCTGGAGGAGGGCCCTTGGCACGTGTATCCCAGTGTGCACTGTCTAGTCTGCGTGGAAACGCCCCCTCCGCATGACCTGGAGCAAGGACTCGGAGAAGACCAATCAGTCCAAGGGCCAATATCAGGCCCATCGCCCCCTTCAAACACGTAACTACCAGCTAAGTATAAGTGGGCCCCTTGCTGCCTTTTGAACCTGTCTCGGTGATGTCGAATGCGCTGCAAAGAAATGGTTTCAGAAATTTCTTGATTGCGGTGGGCTTGCTATTATCGTGGGTAATGGCTTTATTGCGGCAACAATGGGAATTCAGCAGACCATAACTCGAACTGATCGGAATGTCAAACAAGCTATAAATAATCAATGGCAAAAGTCGCGAGAGTAGACGCGGACTAGACGATTGTCCTTATAAGCGAAGAGCCGCATTCCATTTTCCGTCAATTATAAACCGTTTTTTCGACGCCGTATCTTGTCACTTGAATCTCAAAAGGTAGGCTAGGGCACCTAGACTTGTAATTACTTGATTGATCACTTTCTTGTGTTCCGAGACGATATATTCAAATGAGCCAATCATGGTAATGGTAACCCAATTTCGGAAACAGACACTTGAGATAGGATCAATGGATTGAAAGTGGATTTTATACAGTTCAATTATTATTTCTTCCTAATTTAAAGTTTACTACTATTAGTTGGTTTTAAATTATTAATTGATCCCGAGGCCAAAAATCTAAAAGAATTTCAGGCATCTAAATAGGAAATTTGTTTCTTTTCTTGTACAAGTATTTAGAATACGTGTTCATTATGTTTTCTTCATTTGACTTGATTATATTAGGAAAAGAATTTTATTTTAAACATTACCACTCTACTGCTTATTTATGTAAATGGATTCTTCCCTGTTTTCCAAACGGTGTTAGATGCACAGCTCCTTCGAATATAAAATTGAAAAAGTTACTTCCATTATCGATAAAACTGTTTTTTATTTATGTTTCTTTGAAATTCAAAAATGGCTTAGGACATTTATAAATTGAGAGAAGTTTATTTCCCGTTTTTTTTTTCAAAAATCTAGTAAAAGAATTACGGAAAGGGAGCATTTCGTAATGCGTCTCGTTACAGGAAAATGTTAGTTTAGTGGCGCAGCCAGAGATAGAGTTTAGGGGCCGGTTTACTTATTTAAAAAAATTCGGGCACTCATTTAAACGTCATTTCAAAAAAGTCGATCCCCTAAACCCCGCTGCGCCACTGTATTGGTTCAAGGATTTGGTCAATTTTTATTAAAATATTTCATCGTTTCGTGTAGATAGAGCAAATGTAATTTGTCATTGATAAAAGGTATCTTATTTTAGCCGAATTGAACAAATATTTCTCTTGCATTTCCTGTTACTTAAATAGAGAAAAGTAAATATCAGTCCTTTTTGTGTTTGAAACGTCAAGCAACCGGCGAATATATTTTTAGACTAGACTAACAATTGAAGTACTTAACCATTCATAAGCAAAATAGATATAAAAATATGATCTCTTCCTTATGATGTAGTTTACATTTAAACTTATTTATAACAGCTTTGACAAGAAAAGCTTGAGGCGTGGAGACCGTGGATAACAAAGTTGATGCTTCGTTGTAATCCTTTTATTTCTTTTGTTTGAACTTGATAAGTCACAACTTAACCAGAGGCTATGCTTTTTATGCATTTAAAACTGACAATACTCTGCTTTAATTTGCAAACAAGAATTTTGATGAAGAGGAGATAAGGGAATAGGGAGAATACAGTCAGTATTCAAATTAAAAACTTGCTTGATTTTATTTTTATTTATCATATTTAGATACAGTAATACGTTACTCAAGATAATTTACGTAAGTTTGATTCTAGATCTGTCGTACATTTCGAGAAAAGCTCCACATGACAATTAATTTGCTCACTAATTGAAGACAACTTCCTCTTACATAATCTCTAGAAAGTCCCGTCAATAGTCAGTTTACATTACGGGAATTTTTCTCTTGGATTCAAATGTCACAACTATTAGTACATCACTTTAAAAATGTAGTCTATTGAAAGTGAGATTTTATAGCAATTGCAACAAAGAATTTTGAATGACATACATAATTATCGTTTGCAGTTTGTCATAATAAATATTAGTAGTCATCCTGCGTTTCATTGAGTGTAAGATTATTTACTCATTTATTACCTCCTGGGTGCGAAATGGAGGTATTTTCCTGTTGAAGAATTTAATAGAGGTGAGTTCAAGTGAACACCTTAAAACCCACATGATCCCTTGAGAACCCAACCTATCTAATGTAACGGGCGAGAGGAATTCAATAGACATAATAAAACAGTCGTATTTCACGCCGTTGCTTACATATTTACGATTGAAAACTATTATCTTTTAATGCAATAACTTTAAAAATCCGCGAAACCACCAGACATAAATCACATTGAGATTTATTGGCCTCTTGAAGATTTTCCGTACAATTATCTATTTATCGGCGTAATTTTAAGGCGACCACACGGGAGCATCGAGATTGGTTTTCCTTGATGATTATACGCTTTTACACGCAATAAATCAAAATTGTTGCGGGTCACCGATTCACCCAAATTATCGAATAAAGTTGATTGGTCGTAAAATGATGCTGCTACATATTAATAACAATAACGCCTCGTTTCGGGAAATATCGTGTGCCATAACGTAAATATTTATCTCATCTGGAGCATCAATTATACTCCGCAATAATGATGTAATGCCAGTCCATTAAAATAATCTCCCGATTTGATTAAATTGTGCTATTTTAAAATTTGGATTTGAAACAAGTTTGATGGGTTGTTTAATTCGGTTCTGTTTGGTTATTTAACAGCTTCTGGTTCTGTACTTCATTTGTTTAAAAAGAGTCTATTTATAAAATTCGCGGGACAGTGACCTAAATTTTTTCAACGGTTTATCTCATGATTTGTCTGGATGGCAGGTGAGGATAAAAGCTGATTTATACTTACATGTCTGCTGAGTACGTTACTAAAGGATGTGATAAATATGAAGAGGATCAGCGGCGACCTGCAACAAAAACCAAAGGGATTACACATACAAAACATTAGATATCCTCTTTTAAAAGCAATAATGCAGTGATTTAATGAGACATTTAATTATCGAGACTGTTAACTTAACAAGTTGGAAACTGAAATAAATGATGGTCTCTATCTCCGAAGGAATAATTAATAGTTAAGGCACCTCACGCACTTGGAAATTTAAATTTTAGTGGGATAGTGTCGGCACTTCAGTTCAACAATTTTAATTGGGGACAATGGCAGGTGTAATTAGTTCTGACAGACAAACATATTTATCGCGCTTAGTATTAGTTTCAGTTTGTTAAACAAAACGGTTCATTTTTCACTCCCCCTTTCATCTCAAGACAATCATGAAACTTTATTATTGTCAACAAAGTCGACCACCAAATTACCAAAATTCAAAACGACGGCATAACCGAACTAAAACCAAGTTAGTAGCCAAAATTGCAGATAACCTTGTGCGGGGTCGACACACGGGTTATTATTACTTCCTGATGAACAGGAGAGTTGAGAAGAGCAGAGGTTTGTGACCGCAAATTCGGGAACTTAGCTGTAATCCTGGACTCCCTTAGCCAGGACAACGCCCTATTTTTTTTCCCGTTTCAATTAACTTAACTTTACTAGTTTTGCTTATTTGAGTAGAAATTGTAGCAATTGTGATTTAATCAAGGAAAGGTTTTCGGATCGATTTGGGGACAATCCACGAAAAAAGGGAAAGTCGACGATCGATAATTGCCGCATGCGTCAGGATTGGCGGCCTTCCTGCGAGGATGTTCTCCTGCTATTGAGGGATCGCAGGATTTTACCTACCGCGCTTTATTACATTAGCTTATGTCAATCAAGTTGAGGTGTGGGAATACAACTTTTTTGGTGCGAAATATTTGATAACAGCGAGGTATCCGTGTCACGCATCGACTAAAATGCATCTAATGCCCCGTTATGCCACATCAGTTGTCCTAACAGATCGTGCAAGCAACGCAATTATCCCTAATTATCACTCTTAGATTGCGTAAAGATGCTCAAAGATGTGTGAAATAGGCTTTGTGAGCCATGATTTATCTCGTACCCCCTTCCGAGAGCCACAAGTGTTGATTAATGGGAAATTAATTTATTTAAGAAATCTTCATCAATGATAACTAATTCATTCTCTACGCTGTGTGGTGTTCCCCGAATTTTTACCTCGAGACTTTCACGCTCGAGTGTCAATGCTCGCGTGAGGAATAGACTACGTTACGTGGATACGGTTGTAATAATTACGTAAGAGCCAAAAAGTCAATTAACACCTGTTAGAATTCGCTTTTAACGTTCGGGTCCGCGGCTAAGGAGACCAGGAACAGAAAGAGGTAGAAACGTCGTGCTAAACCAACCAAATAACGCGATACACCGTATTTGCTTTCACCTGGAGTCAACGGTTTGCACCACAAGACCGGTTCACTTTGTAAATAAACAAATTTTATTACGAGCAAGAAACAAAGTTATGATGGATCAATCGTCGGTTGCACACAAACCAAAAGCTTCACTTGTTCGACATGAACAATAAATCAAGCAATAACAACAAGCAGGGGATAAAGAGCTTCAAGTGCTAAACAAAGCTTCATTTGTGCGAGAAAAAAAGGGGCTCCTCTCTTTGTGGCCAGTTTTTGTGGTGCAAACCACTTTTTTCGTAACGCGATACAGCGCAGGTATTATCCGCCAGGTATGCAAAGCGCACCTTGCCTTCCTCTTCTTTCCTCTGCTGTCCTGCTACACGGATAGCGAAATGCCACAGGTAAGTTTTGTTTATATTTTTTTTACCGTGGAGCAGGTAACGGCGATGCCAGTCTTGAACGCATCAGGCCATGTGCCAAAATCGGACACTGGTGATCTTGGTGAGCTTGAATTTTTGCAATAAAGTTGTTGGTAATTGTTGCAAGAAGTAATAACATCGTTCTGAATCGGTGCGGAAAGCGTGGGTTTGCGTGGGGCTAGGAAGTTTAGTAGATATCCCAGCGGCTGTTGGTATCGATAACCGCATGTCCATGGCCTCTGATTAACCTATATTTGCGAACTCACCACAGGGTTCGGGTTTTTGAGGGGGCAGTGACTCCGCTTTTACGAGGCTTTAACTCCGGTTTAACAGCCGCGTAAACAGTCAAACATAAATATGCAAATCTGGTGCATCTCGGTATGTCAATGGGACCGAAGAGGTTCGCCTTTTTTGTATTTGCTGTGGGAAAATGAAAAATCAATGGGATCACTTCATTGATAATCTCGTCTGCGTGATTGCTCTTCTCAATATTCCGAGCTAGGGCTCTGACTGTGAAACATTTATTATCCATTGTGATGGATGAGCAAGGCATATAATCTGATATTGCCGACTTGTTTATGGAGGCTTTGTTTTGTATGTTTTGTTGAAATATGACAGGTTTAAATTACTCGGGTTTATCGAGAGATAGGGCTTAACACTTGGTCAAATCGATTACGGCCGAGGAACGTGCTTAGATGCTCAACGAGATTTGATGGAAAAATTAGATTGTCTCTGCTTCTGGGAACGCACGTACGATGCGCTTTTTTCACCACGTCAAATTGCCATCTAATTATATGTTTTTGAACTTGTCCAAAAACATAATTGTTCAAGCATGTCTTGACGTAGTAATTTCTTCAAAACATTTTTTGTCTTTGCGACCAACCAAAACAACCCAAGCACTGTCATTTGTACTTTTTATTGTTTTATCTTTATTACTTTCTGTTTTCCTAATCGTTTCCGTTAATGTTACACTGTGTTTATCTTAGTAGACCATACAATCAATATTGGACTTAGTAGAAGCATCTCTCAGCTGCGAAATATCTCGGTCTCTTTGAATCCTTGACCTCAAACGCTTGACAATTTCAAATTACTACACTGAGAAAATAATGAAGCAACAATTTTTCCTTTAATTAAGTGTGAAGAGATTTATCAATATCATAACTCAAATCACCGCTCCCGACTACTCTTTTTTGTAACTAGTCGACTGTCACATACCCCATAAGTTAAAAGCATATCTTTGATTTTTTTCACCAGATACGTCGCTTGCTTCTTCGTTAACTTCCTAAAACATGTTATTTTATCACGCGATGCACTTGGTCGCCTTAATTTTTAAATGCATTATTAATTTATATGGAATTGGGCGTGGCATAATGCATCTTGTTAGAGTCATAATAATGTCTGGTGTTCAATTAACTGTGAAAGTGACGGATGGAAGCCTTTGTAACATAATCAACAATGCAAAATAGAAAATTGTTATAAATGAGAAATGAAACACTAACAAGAGGAATAAATTTTATCGTACTTGATTAAACCAGAAAAGAACAACTTTGCACTTTGAAACCTACAAGATGATTAGCCGATACTTAGAAGTAGCTGAAGGCAAAAAATTTGCAATATCAAAAGTGATTAACCATCTGTTTTTCATCCGAAAAAATCGAACTGGTTTGGGTTGAAAGCTTTAGTTGCTTGTAATTAAAATGGCGGTCAAAAACCACGCGATGCTATCGTCAATAATGAGCTAATAAGTTCTTTGATTTTTTACAATGTGTTTTTATGAATGTATTATTGCTTCCCGGATATTTTATGCTAATCACTCAATCAAAATAACAATAGTGCTATGATTGACATTAGAAATAAAATAAGAAATAAATTACTTTTCTGCACATTTTTGAACCCCTACATAGTTAATAAAGATAGTTCACTCGAACACATTTATGTTTAGCGTGGAATTTTGTTTAAAATTCTTGAAGAGTTTCCCCTTTGGTTCCGCATCTTCTTACAGCCGCAATCATCTCTCAATTTATCTTAGTCTTTGTCTGGCATTCGAGAAAAGTCTGGTCTTTATCAATCTTTCAACAAGTTCTTTTGACAAATGTAACCATTAGGCGAGATTGCGTCTCACTATAGCCCTTTGTTTCCTCCACGGTATGCAAATGGAATAACATGAAGTAAACTACCTTATTTTTACACTTGAACGATAATCGTAAAGAAAGTTAATGTGATGCATTTTTATTTCTGTTTGAAATTACACTTTCGACGTTTATTAGGACTTGAAAATGAAAGATTTTATAACGTAAACACTTGAATGGACCATTTGTCGACAAAAGGGGGCACTACAAAGCCTCTATGGTTCCGAATGACTTAATTTTTGGTTGTTTACATCATAAAAATCGTTTCGAGAAGTTTATTACTGAGGGAAAAGCGAATCCTTCCGTGTCAGAAATTACAAGAGTCTTCCTACGCGATTGGGAAACCAGTTCAGTGTTATAAACGCACCGAGACAAGATCGGGAAAGTGACTTTGGCCCTATTTGGAAGCGATTCTCACGGACTGGGTTACTGGAAACGTCATTGATGCTCGCACTTGTCCCGCAAGAAAGAAGAGAATTATGACACCTCTTAAAAAGCAGTTAAACCGTATTACACCATGCCCGATAACAATCGTAACGACATTATAAATTTTCACTTAATTGGAAGAAAGTACTTTGGATAACGAGACGAAAAACGGGTACTATGAAACCACGAGATTATACCAAATGGGCTCCTCTTGATTTATGGTCATCGCGTTACGCAATCCGGCCTCTAGCCGCTAGCCATAAGTCTGCCTAGTGTCTGGGAAGATGAATAATTTTATCACTTACACCTCCAATGCCAACACTCCACATGGAGTCCACCAAATGTCACTCTTGAGTTTTCCCACCGCGATGGGTGTTCCCATGGATTATACAAAACAAACAGTCCTAGGCTTTTGGGAAGATTTTCCACGGTTATCAAACAGATGGACGAAATGTCATAAAAGTGCAGTGATTTACGACTCGGAGAAAGTTTAGATTGTACTTGGCCTAAGATCTTTTTAATTCGGGATTTAATGGGTCCAGTGGTGATAAAATGGAACTATTTTATGGATCTGTTCCGTGTTAGCACGCGATTAATTAGTAGTACAACGATGAGAAAACCTTTTTGATGGCCTCGCATGGTGCAGTT